GAGGAGAAGGAGGCGACGCCGGCGCAAAGATCGGCGGCACTGAACGGCGGCGAGACGCGCCGCCACGCGCGGCGGAACGGGAGAAGGTGGCGCGGCTTCGGGAGGCGCGTGAGGGAGCGTGGCTGCTCCGATGACCGCGAAACTTCCACGGTGGAGGTCGCACGGGGAGGCGAGCAAAACCTCGTGCTCGGCGGTCCGAACCGCTACTCGGCGACGGCGGCGGCAGCGGACGGCGGTGGCGACAGCGGCGGCAGCGGACGGCGGTGGCGACGGCGGCGATGGAGGCGGCGACAACTGCAGGTTTAGTGGCAGAGCCGAAAAAAAAATCCCAAGAGACCTTAAGCTCTTGATACCATGTTGAATATAGGGAAAAACTGTATAGGGTTAATTTTCCCTTATGTATTTACCACACATAGGGCAGTGTATTTATAATAAAGAAAGGTACTCCTCAAAAGAGTAACAGAATACAAATAGAGTAAATAAAAAGATATTATTTGATATTGTGATTAACAATATCTAACAATATCTCAACAATATCAACTAATATCTAATCATATCTAACACACTCCATATGTGTCCTCTCAAGACCAAATTGCAGACATTCTTACCAAAGGACTGGGTTGCCATAATTTTGAGAAGATTGTATCCAAGTTGGGAATGGAAAACATCTATTCACCAGCTTGAGGGGGAGTGTGGGAAATCAAATAGTATTTTAGGAAAGAATAAATTAGGAAATTTGTATATTTCCTTGTAATCTGTACAAATTTGAATAATTAGGAACAATCCCATAAATCAAGGGATCCTAGCATAAAATAGAGTTATTATATTTCCTAAAATAGCTTAGGTCTCTTGTATATATCTTATATCATCTCTTTGTATTAAAATAATAAAAAATCATATTTCAGTTAATCTAATTTTCCAGAGAACGTGAGAACTTTTAGCATTTCTTCTCTTTTCACCAAACTTCTATCTACCAAATCTAGCTTGGATTCCCCTGGTAAGTAAGGCAAATAAACTGAAGGAGGCTGTCCATAAACAACCTCATAAGGAGTGGCCTGGATAGAAATATGGAAGGTAGTGTTGTATCACCATTCAGCCAAGGGAAGCCATTTGTACCACTGTTAAGGACAATCAGAACACATGCACCTTAAGTATGTTTCAAGACATCTTTGGACAACCTCAGACTGTCCTTCAGTCTGAGGGTGATATGATCTAGACAACTGAATCTGAACCCCTTGTAAACTCATGAGTTCTGTCCAAAATTGGCTAGTGAAGACAGCATCTCTATCACTACTGATAGAATTTGGAAACCTGTGTAACTTGAACATATCCATGAAAGATTGGGCTACTTCAGCAGCTGTATATGGATGAGATAAAGCCATGAAATGAGCAGGGATTGGAAGAGGCTGTAACAGACCAGGGGAAGCTGCATATCATACTTAACACTGATGGCAAGTGACACATTGCTGAAAAAACAGCTGAACATCCTTATGCATCCCCTTCCAATATACTACAGCTTTGAGCCTTTGTAAAGTAGCCTGCCTACCCAAAAGTCCTCCAATTGCAGAAGCATGTAACAAGTGAAGGATATCTTTTCTTAAGGTCTGATCACTCCCAATAACCAATCTCCCCTTTCTTCGTAATTCATCATTAATCCAAGTGTGATATTTATGAGATGAAGGATCATTCATAATCTCAAATCAGTTTCTGTAAGGCAAGATCTGATGACCATAGCCGCTGTCTTCTGGCCAATAAATCAGACTGTAACTGACAAGTAACTAAAGCATGACATTCCACTAAATCCAATCTGGAGAGTGCATCAGGCCACTACATTCTCTTTCCCTTGTTTGCACTCAATAGAAAAATCAAATTCCATGAGTTTAACTAACCATTTTTGTTGAAAAACAGTGGATAACCTTTGGTCCAATATATATTTTAAGCTGCTATGATCTGTTTTAATAAGGAAATGTCTATTTAACAAGTAATGTCTCCATTTCTCGACTGCAAACACCACAGCAATGAGCTCTTTTTCATATGTTGAGAGAGTTTGTTGTTGTTTATTGAGGGATCTACTTATATAAGCAATAGGATGGTTCTCTTGCATCAACACTGCTCCAATGCCAAAACCTGAAGCATCCACTTCAATTACAAACTTTTTACTGAAATCGGGTAAAGCTAACATAGGGGCAGAAGACAACAATTGCTTGAGATGCTGGAAGGCTAACTTGGCCTCATGTATCCAAGTAAAATTATCCTTTTTAAGCATGCCTATGAGAGGTTTAGCGACAACTCCATATCTGTGGACAAACTTTCTGTAACAGCCAGCTAACCCAAGGAAGCCTGTAAGTTGTTAAACTGATTGAGACAGTGGTCAATTAACCATAGCTTCTATCTTAGCATGATCAGTGGAAACACCCTTGCCACTTATGAAATGACCTAGGTATTCTACCTTTCCAACAGCAAAGTAACATTTGGATCTTTTTTAGCAAACAAAGAATTAGCCCTCACTGTTACAGTACTTGTTGTAAATGTATCACATGATCATCTAAAGACTTACTATAGATGAGTATATCATAAAAAAAAAACACCAGAAACTTCCTCAAAATTTTCTTGAAAATGTCATTCGTAAGGCCTTAAAAAGTGGCAGAAGCATGTGTAAGTCCAAATGGCATGACCAAATACTCATAAATGGCCTCCATGTGTCCTGAATGCTGTCTTACTCATCACAAGTTTCTATTCTGACTTGATTATAACCAGCTCTAAAATCTATTTTTGAAAACACTATAGAACCATTCAACTTATCTAATAAGTCATCCACCAAAGATATAGGAAATTTATTCTTGACTGTAGATTTATTCAATTCTCTGTATCCACACACAATCTCCAAGAGCTGTCTTTCTTTCCAACCAACTCTACTGGACTTGCATAAGGGCAGGTGCTGTGCTGTAACTCCAGTTTTCAAATATTCCTGAATCAAACCCTCTATTATATCCTTCTGCTGATTTGCATACCTATAGGGTCGTTTGTGCACAGGATTAGCTCCCCATATCAATGGGATTCTGTGATAACGATTACGCCTGGGAGGAGGAAGTTGTGTGGGTTCCTGAAAAATGTCCTCAAATTCATCTAGAAGCTGCAAAATGACTTGCGGAATAGCTGGGTGAGCAGCATGTGTAGTCATAGATTGAAGTAAAGAAGTATCTTCATAACACACTTGGAGCATAGTAAGGTGTACTCCCTCAGACAGAGTTCTATTTAATTGCTGCTTTTTGATAGTATGAAAGCCATTGGAGGATGCCCCTATAAAGGACATGGCTTCTGCCTTGTACCATAAATTCCATTGTAAATTTATCAAAATTCCAAATAATGTTACCCAATGTAACCAAACATTCTATGCCAAACACCAAATCACAGCAACCTAAACGTATAAGCAGCATATCAGAAGTGAAAGTAGTCTGCAGGATGGTCCATGAAAAATCCTTTACTACAGAAGAAATCTGCAATTTAGTACCATCTACAACTATCACATTCAAAGGATTCAACTCCACAATATTACAACCTAATTTCTTGGCTACATTAATATCCAAGAAATTTTATGTACTTCCACTATCTATCAACACATGAAGAGGCTTCTTTTTATGATAACCACTAATTTGCATGGTTCGAAAAATTGGTAACTCCTGTTAAAGCATTCACGGAAATTTGAGGCTCCTTCATATCTACTTCTTCAACTTGCATATCACTATCAAGTGTTGTTACTCCGTCATCACAATCATTAATTTCTAAAACACGTATCTGTAATTTCTTATGAGTCCAACTATGAGATTGAGTAAAAGGCTCATCACAAAAGTAACAAAGACCTTTAGCTCTTCTTTCAGCTATATATGCAGGGGTAAGGTTCTTGGTAATCTTGGGTGCTGTCATGGAATTGTCTACCCCTGAAGTAATGAGAGAAACCAGTTTTTTCTCCGAATAAGGATTTTGGATTAAAAAGATTTCTATTTTGTTGAGTGAAGGTAGTTGCTGCCGAAGATTGAGAACTAGCATCTTTATAAATTTTTGCCAAAGTAAATGCCCTTCTGACAGAATCCGGTTGAAACATCTGCACCATCATTTGAATATCATTCTTTAATCCTCCCAAAAAACAACTCAAAATGTGCTCTTGTGAAAGTTGTAGTCTAGTAATACTAGCATCAAAATCCTCATGGTACTTCTCAACACTAGTTGTTTGTCTCAACTTCATTAATTCGGTCATCCGATCATCACATACTTCCCCGAATTTCTCAATCAACAATTTAGTGTATACAACCCAATTATGAATAGGACAATTACCCGCAGACCTGACGAATGTCACATGTCATTGCAAGGCTTTTCCTTCAAGGTGAATTGTAGCTATCTTGACTTTAACATCGTTAGGAGTATTATCAATAGAAAAAGAATTCTCAGCTTGATAGATCCATTGATGCACACTATCACCACAAAATTTCGGAAAATTGATTCTGGATAGCCTCGTTCCACAAGAATATTGTGTGGAGCCCTTATTCTGATCCTGATACGTGTCCCCAGAATAAGAATTATGACCATCATCACCTTCTTGTGAAATTCTAAGCCTTTTTTTAATGTTGTTCTTTAAAGATTCATCTAGTTCCTTTTGGTGCCTGGCTTCTAGTTTTTTCCGCCATGGGAAAGGATGGATAAAGGAAGGGACAGGCTGATACTAATTGATAAGAGAAGAAATAGTTCTACGAATTTTAAGGAAAAATCAAAGAACCAGATGAAAACTAGGGAATCTTGAACAAGAAGAGATCCCGAAGAATTTTATTGATCAGAGTATTAGGGAAGAGTTTTGTTTACAAAAAATGATTATTATCCTTGGAAAATGGGAAGTTTCCATTTTATACGTTCAACTAACATAACCTCCTAACTGAATATAACTAACTAACTCCATAACATGATCACATAAAAGAAAGGAGGGCATGAGAAAAAAGGTAGAGACTAACTGGGCAGTGCTCTCCTATTTGGATCTTCACACCCAGATGTTCGGCAGAAAGATGCCGCAGTGCTCTTTTGCTACCTGATCTGCTGCAACCCAAATGCAAATTTATTAGAATGAATTAGAGGAACACTTGGAATGTAAACCTAAAAACAATAGGTAGAAGGAGAAGTAATGTGACAGCACCTTAAAAATGGCTGGTACTCTGAGGTATCTCTTATATCCTTTTTGGGATGACTTAATAATAATGCCTGCAAAAGTACAGTCCAATTCTCAGTTTTAAACACTAGAGGCTGACAAGAAAAACATACATGCAAATCAAGAAAGGGGAAGAAAATAAGCACTCAAATGCAGACCTTAAGGTCATTGGACAAGGCATGACCAACAAGGATCCTTCCGTTGATCAACTCTGACACTTTCTTCTGAGCAGTCCAAAACTCCTTTGCTACAAATTTAATTATCGTGTTGAGAATTGTATTAGTTTATTTATTGGCATAAGAAACATATGATGGTAATCATAAAAATGGTTAGGTAGTTGTGATAAGCTATTATGGCTGCTTTTAAGAATTGAGACATGCTAATGGCTGAGCACCTGAACCTTAACATCTAATATTAGTGTAGACATGCCTCATTTTGAACTGCTTATTAAATTAATCTATGCATCACACATTTGCATTATGTTCAGAATGAGTGTAATGGAATATTTAGTACTATGACTGGAGCAATTTTCCACAAGCAAGTACTTGAAATAGATAATAAGAAAATAAAAAGATGTTTTTGAGAACCTATCTTTTTCTCTTGTGTTCTCTTATTTATAGGGAATAAAGATACAGATTCTGAGATGCAATAAATAGGAGGAAATGATTAAACATAGAGAAGATAAACAGGTACATTCTAAGAACTAGGTCAATAGTTAGATACAACTAATCTAATAAATACTCAACACTCCCCATCAAACTAGAGCATACAAATTGTATATACCAAGCTTGGAACAAATAAATTCCATTCGAGACCCTCTCAAAGATTTTGTTAATGCGTCTGCAAACTGATCGTTGGAACTAACAAGCTCAGTACAAATTTCTTTAGACAACAACTTCTCCCGAACAAAACGACAGTCAATCTCAATATGCTTAGTCCTCTCATGAAATACTGGGTTGGAAGCAATGTGGAGAACAACTTGATTATCACAATACATCTTCATAGGTTGAATCTCACAAAAGTTCAGTTCTTGCAAGAACTGTTTTACCCATACAAGTTCACAAGTGAAAGACGCCATTGCCCTATATTCAGCTTCAACAGAGTATCGAACAACTACGTTTTGCTTTTTCTTTTCCATGAAATGATATTACCTCCTATTGAAAGTCCTACATCGCCTACCTCATATCATTTGGTATGGTTTAAATACATGTTAGGCTACTCCACATATTGCCAATTGGTTTTATGTTGGAACCTTAACATGGTATCAGAGCCAAAGCCTAACATCTTTCCGGTTATTGTCATGGGCCAAAAGTTGCCCTTTAGTTGGGTCAAAAGTACCCTTTGCCTGGTCCGGTAGGCTTCGTTGGAGGGGGTGTGTTGAAAGTCCTACATCGCCTACCTCATATCATTTGGTATGGTTTAAATACATGTTAGGCTACTCCACATATTGCCAATTGGTTTTATGTTGGAACCTTAACACCTCCAAGGAAAACACAGTAGCCTGTAGTGGATCGCCTGTCCATAGGAAATCCAGACCAGTCAACATCACAGTACCAAAAAATTTGGGTATTTCCCTTATCTTCATATAACAAACCTTGTCCTAGAGCTTTTTTAATATATCTTAGGATTCGAATGATAACATTCCAATGATCAACACAAGGGGCTTGCATAAATTGACTGACAACACCAACTGCAAACGATAAATCAGGTCTAATAATAGTCAGATAGATAAGTTTCCCAACCAGTCCTTTATATCTTTCTGGGTCAGAGAAAGCTTCACATTGTCCTGTCATTAATTTTAAATTTTGATCCATAAGGTTGTCCATAGGTTTGCAATCAATCATACCTGTCTCTTTTAGAATATCTAGAGCATATTTCCTTTGGAAAATGACAACACCTTCTCTTGATTGAGCCACTTCAATACCTAAGAAATATTTTAGATTTTCAAGATTCTTGGTTTGAAAATGACTACACAAGTGTTCTTTTAGCAGAGATATTCTAGCAGCATCATTCCCTGTGATGACAATATCATCAACGTACACAATTAAATAAACATGTTTGTCAGGGACAATATGACAATAAAACATTGAATGATCTGTTTTGCTTTGTTTTAATCCAAAAACTTGAACAATAGAGCTGAATTTTCCAAACTAAGCACCTGGAGACTGTTTTAAGTCATAGAGAGATCAACATAATTTACAAACCAAACTAGACTCCCCCTGAACAACAAATCTAGGAGGTTGCTCCATGTTAACTTCTTCTAAGTCACCGTGCAAAAAAGCATTTTTAATATCCAATTGATGAAAAGGCCAATGACGAATGGCGGTCATGGCAAGGAATAGGCGGACAGTGATCATTTTGGCTACAGGAGAAAAAGTATCACAATAATCAAAACCATATATCTGAGTGTACCCTTTAGCCACTAACTTAGCTTTGAGGCGATCAACTTGACCATTAGGCCCAACTTTAATAGCATAGATCCAACGACAACCAACTATTTTTTCCCCGAAGGGAGAGGAACCAACTTCCATGTTTTGCTGTGATCAAGAGCCTGCATTTCAGAAATCATGGTTTGTCGCCATCGAGGATGATCAAATGCTTCTGCCACATTTTTGGGGATCGTAATAGAGGATACAGAATAAATAAAAGAAAAATAAGAAGACAATCTATGATGACTAAGAAAATTGTAAAGGGGATGAGGATTACGAGTAAAACAAGTACCTTTGCGAATGACAATGGGCCAACTGGAGTCATCGTTATCAGGAGTCGTGGTATTAGAAGATGATTGAGAAGGACCTATTATGGGTGGCTCATCTTGGGGAATGGGATTGTTCACTTGGTTCCTGCGTTGATAGGTGATGAGAGGTTGTGATGATGATTATGGAGTATTTTTGTTGGAATTTAGGGTGTCAGAAATAGGAGGTACAAATGACTCAACTAAGGGGATAGGAAGAACATGTTGGACAAAATCAATATCCTGCACAAAAGAAGAGAAGAAGGGGGATGATTCAAAAAAGGTGACATTAACACACATGTAGTACCTCTTGGTTTCAAGAGAATAACACCAATATCCTTTTTGAAGACGAGAATATCCCAAGAAGACATATTTGATAGCTCTAGCATAGAGTTTATCTAAGCCTGGAGACATATCATGAACTCTGGAAAATTAGATTAAATGAAATCTTATTTTATTTTTTTAATACAAAGAGATCATACAAGATATATACAGGAGACCTAAGCTATTTTAGGAAATATAATAACTCTACTTTATTCTAGGATCCCTTGATTTATGAGATTGTTCTTAATTGTTCAAATCTGTACAGATTACAAATTTCATAATTTATTCTTTCCTAAAATACTATTTGATTTTCCACACTCCCCCTCAAGCTGGTGAATAGGTGTTTTCCATTCCCAGCTTGGATACAATCCTCTCAAAATTGTGATAGCTCAGTTCTTTGATAAGAATGTCTACAATTTGGTCTTGAGAGGACACATATGGAGTGCATATCAAGCCACTATCAAGCTTTTCTTTGATGAAGTGTTTGTCTACTTCAATATGCTTTGTTCTATCATGCTGCACTGGGTTGTGGATTATGCTGATTGTTGACTTATTATCACAATAGAGCTTCATAGGTTTTTCCCATTTTATCCTCAAGTCTTCTAAGACGATTTTTAAGCCATAGCAACCCAAATATACCTTGTGCCATGGCTCGAAATTTTCCGCTTCAGCACTGGACCGAGTCACTACACCCTGCTTTTTGCTTCTCCAAGTCACAAGATTTCCTCCAAAAAAGGTGCAATATCTTATAGTTGAACTCCTATCCACAATGAACCCTGCATAATCAACATCAATATAGGCTTCAAGTTTCACATTACCATTCCTTTTGAATAGAATCCCTCTTCCTGGATTTCCTTTAAGGTCCTGTAAAATTTTGTGGGCTGCTTGTAAATGGGTCTCCTTTGGGTTATGCATAAATTGACTAATTAAACTCACTGCATAGGCAATAATTGGCCTGGTATGCGACAAATATATAAGTTTGCCTACTAATCGCTGGTATATATATCTTTTTCAACAGCAACATCTTCTGCATTTTCAAGTTTTAGGTTTGGTTCTAATGGGATACTAGCAGGTTTGCAAGCTGCCTTGCCAGTTTCCTTGAGCAAATCAGTGATGTATTTCTGTTGGGATATAAATATCCTTTTCTTGGAGTGGGCAACTTCAATTCCCAAAAAATATTTTAGTTTTTCCAAGGTCTTGATCTCAAATTCCTTGCCTTAGGATTGGCTCAACAATTGCTGCTCTTCTTTATTATCTCCAGTTAATATTATGTCATCCACATACACCAATAATATTGTTACTCCCCCTGACTTGGAATATTTAAAAAACAAAGTATGGTCTCCTTGGCTTTGTTTGTAACCCAGACCTGTCATAATTTTTTAGTAAACCTACCAAACCATGCACGGGAGGACTGTTTTAGCTCATATAATATCTTTTTCAACTTGCAAACAATGTTGACAACATCTTTACCATATCTTGGAGGTATCTCCATATAAATTTCTTCTTCAAAGTCTCCATGTAGGAAAGCATTATTAACATCAAATTGTTCCAAGTTCCAACCATAATTGGAAGCAAGGAATAATATCACCCTAACTGTGTTTATTTTGGCAACCGGAGCAAAGGTCTCCAAATAATCAACTCCATAGGTTTGGGTGAACCCTTTGGCAACTAGTCTTGCCTTATATCTCTCAATTTATCCATCAGTCTTGTATTTCACTGTATAGACCCACTTACATCTAGCTGGCCTCTTTCCTGTTGGTAAGGTGACTAACTCTCAGGTGTTGTTCTCCAATGTCTCCATCTTTACATCCATGGCTTGCCTCCATTTTCTGTCAGACAATGCTTCAGGTAGGGTATTAGGTAGAAGTACAGTGTTTAGGTTTACTAGGAAGATTTTATGGGTAGGTGAGAAATTTTTAAAGGACAAGTAATTTGAGAGAGGGTAGAGTGGTTGTTTGGTGCATTTTTTTGTCCCTTTTCTAATGGCAATTGGGAGGTCAGGATCATTTTGGGTTTCAATTTCAACCTGCACAACTGGAGAAAAAATTGTTACCTCTTCTTGTGGAGTCGAGTTGGATTCTTGAACAATGCTAGATCCTGAAATGGCCTTAGTCTTCTTTAAGTACACCAGCTTCTTACCAAATTTTCCAGCTTCAACATCTTCTTGATCAACTTCACAATTAATTTCA